TTTGTTGCTGGTCTGTCTGTGTTTCGTCTGCTTGTTATCCCTCTATGTTTCATTCATATTCCAGGCTCTAGGTTCCTTGTTGTCTGTCTTTAGGTTCTGTATTCTATATCTCAGGTTTTTGTTCCTCTGAGTCCTTTTATTTTCTCCTAGTTTAGGTTTCTGCTTTAGTCTAGTCATTGCTATGTTCTGCTTGTGTTTGTTTCTCATTTCCTTACTGTAAATAAAGGTTCACTCGCAATAAGTCCTTTGTCGGTGCCTGCACTTGGGTCCTTTCTCTCACCTCTCTCCACGACTGCTGTTGAAGCCGTGACCCGTTTATGTCATGTGCTTTTTAAACTTGGTGCCACATTTCATTACCTTATCTTAGGAATTGGTAAGGTAGGCTTCAGTGCAGTACTTTAAGAGAAACATAACACATTCAAACACAAAAAATCTGTTATTCTGCTAATTTAACACTTCCTAGTAATACAGATGGGCAGGAACCACATTAACCTCATCATTCTGACACTGTTTGTTTGTGTCAGTGCTGTTCCAAACTATTATCTAATCTAATGGTATTTTTGAGTAATGATTAGTAACCTAATATGAGACTTTTTATATTACTAGCATATGTACTTAGCGTACATATGCTGCCTACAGTACCTACTGTAAACAAGCAAGTAGCAGAATTTTGGTAACTCACAGGAAGAAGATCTGGCAAGCTGGAGTCATTTTGACAGGTTCACTGTCAGTCCAAATAGATGCATATTAGGTTCATTTGTCAACAACATGTCATAACTGATGGGACCATGAAGGACAATTTCCTGCCATCACTTCACAACTTAAAGCTAAAGCACGCTTGGGTTATTGGCAGGAGCACAATAACCCAAAACACACAGCAGGGCGACTTCTGAATGGCTAAAAAAAAGGGGGTTGAAGTGAGGTAGTCAAAGTGGGGACAAACCATAAATGAGCTTCAAAACTTGCCACACCAGGTAGGTTACTACTGTTTCTGTCTAGTTGCTGTTATACTTTTCTCAGCTTCAATCTGGAACTTTAAGACAAACACATACACAAAGATTTGTGTATAAATTTCTTTCCCAGTAACTGTGAAAGACTCGTTGCCAGTTATCACAAATGCTTGATTGCAGTTCTTGCTTCCAACTCATCACTGTGTTAATGAGAGAGAGAGAGGAAAGCACCAGACAATTAGCAGCCTGTAAGTGCCTGCATGTAAACACAGTCAACGGAAGTGGGTCACATTCCTGCTGCTGGTGACTTAACAGGTGCCTGGAGGGCCTTATTTTTCAAACAGGAAACACAAAGTTTTAAAGAGAAAGAAACTGGAACAAGGGATATGTGGAGTGTAAAATTAGTGTTACAGTGCAGACAATACAACCCTGCACCTGTACAGATGTGGTGATCAGACTAAGTCGTAACAGGAAAGACATTAAGATCATACAGCAAATAGTTGCTGGAGGGGGAAAATCAGCAAATTAGTTTAAGGAGTATATTTCTGCAGCATATTTACAGAATTAGAAGCATTACACTTTTGTGTCCACACTCTGCAGATATGAATATGAATGAGGGACCAGTTTTGTCTCAGGTTAATTAACATGAGTCATGAGGGGAAACTACTGTGGAAAATGTGGCGTGAAACAAAATGAATTTGAGAAGAGTTTTTAAAAGAAAACTTGGCTGACTGGTGTCATAGAGTCAGTTGTTGCATTCTGTGATTCTGGCTCAAAGTACCCAAAGTCAGTGATAAACATTTAGTCAGGCAACAGAGAGATTAACTTGTATATGTGTCTTCTTTAGAGTGTTTGAAGGTCTTTGACTGAGGTACTCAGTTTACTGTCTAAGCTTTGCTGCAAGGTGCTATGTTGATGAGCCCAACTTACTTTCTTTCAATGAGGAACTCTTGCTCAAATAGTTCTGCAGGCTTTCTGAAGGTCTCTCAAAGTTTTTCTTTTCACATTGTTTTTCACACATTTTCAGTCCATGCCTTGTATTTGATCATTTTCAGTAGTTGCTTTTTTTTCTTTGCCTGCTTGTTTAAGTCATATAACAGTGGCCTATGAATGAATCAATCATTAAAAGTGCACCTAACTCATGGGATGAACCAGTGTTGTGTCTGCAAACGACTTAACAAAGAACCAAGTATCTTTAGACACTTTGTTACTAGCAGCTTTTGAGAAAAATACATAATTAGTTCCAATTTCTTAATAAAAAAGCATAAAAGAGTATTTTTATAGCAACAAGATAATTCCAAAAGAGTAAGTAAAAAGAAACCAAGCGTGCTTGGTTTCCTCGAAAATTTGAGTAAAGTGTAGGGCCAAAAAAGGGGAAGGCCTGAAAAGCTATCCACAGCAGATGAAAGTCTCAGTCATTTCTTTAAGAAACAGGAAAACAGCTAGTAAGGACCTGAGAGTCTGAAGCCTCATCAGAAACTGTCTCAGTTGGAGGTTGGCTGGAAGCAAAGGGATAAAGTGAGTGATGAAACCAAATTTGAAATTTTTGCTGGTAACTGTCATGATTTCCGCTGCATTTCAGACAGTGGTGTTTGGATCATATCAACACTGATGGAATGATGAAAGCAGAATAGTACGATTTTGAACCACCATGCAATACCTGGATAGAAAAACACAATTCCCCACATTCCTATAAAAACTGTATATAAAATGAATGGTGGCACAAGACCTTTGCCCAGTACTGTATATCATATCCTATATGATATAGTTACAGTTAAGCCTTTTGTGACAAATGTGATGTTGAATGTGCTGTAAACATTTATGTTAAATGATATATTTTTACAGCAATGCCTCTGCACCCCAAGGGCATACACTACACTTGTGGAAAAGGTGCATGCTTGTACAAATTCCCAGCCAGTGAAAGTGTGAGCTAAAAGTCAGTAACTCAACACCTCTTGGATTCATTTTCTTCCAAATTTAATTTGGTAGGGAAACAGATGAAGCTAAGTAAGTGGCCCGTATCATTTTCATCACAAATCACACAAAAAAAGCTTTATCTGATTTTGTAGTGTTTGTTTGAGGTTTCTGGAAGAGGCCTGAGTACTCTGCTTTCTGTCACAGTGGAAAAGATTGGAGTATTCACCCCATCAGGATTCGCCTCTTGGAGCTAACCGATCACATGAACTGTTGCTGAAGTCGAGGTTCTTACAGAGCTGTTGTTAATTACACCGTGATTGAGTTGGAGATGTGGCGCTACTTTACATCAGGACAGATTCACCAAGTCAGTTTGAAGCCTGGGTTTTTAGGAGGTGTTTTGCTTTCTCCATCATTTCCACTAAGTTTGCAGTAACTTTGATCTTCCTCCACAGATGATGAACTGTAACCAACTATTGTTAATCTAAACTCAAATATAATCACGACACAAGCTTTTCTTATCTTTACTTTTCCATCTGTTCATGTTCTGGCTGACTCAGATCTGCAGAATGCTCTCATATCCTCTGTGGGAGCGCGCACACAAACACACACCGGCCATTGCTTCTCCAAGCATTAAAGCCCACCTCACAACTAACCGGTGCTCCCCATCCATCTGTGCTCTCTTTTCATTCAGTGAGCAGGATTGCTCTGTCTCGGCTGAGATCCCTCCACCATGATCTTTAAGAAATCATTATGTTAACATAGTCACATTTTCCATCTCAGTTTGGATCATCATATATACTGCAGGACACCCGAACACGTTCCTTTGGCTGCTCTAACATTAGTTTATAACTGACGGTGTAACTTATTATGCTGGTGTGTCTGAGCATCACTGAAGCAGCCTTAAAGAAAGAAGCCTGGGAGAGATCTGCTGACCTTTATCGAGGCCAAGAGGAGCACATGTGGGTTTACTAGACCTTCACTTAATCTTTGATTGCTGGTTTACTTTCTTTCTGAAGGCTTATTGGCTTGGCTGTGGTTTGTGTTTATGCCAGCTGTCCATTCTGGGTCTGAGAGACAGCGCCTCCCTGTGGAATACAACTGTAAGTAGAACCAAAGCAGTAGAAACTCAGTGCCATCTACTGTTCTTTGGTGTTCATTTATGGGGAGAAATGCCCGCAGTAATACTTAAATTAGTAAACAGGTGGATTGCTTAAAAAGTAGTTACAATGAAAGGGCTCCACCCCGTTGACTAGACGATCTCTAAGGTGTTACACGTTTCGTGGCAATATGCTCGCTCATTTGTATAAAGAAGAAAACGAGGCAGCAGAGTCAAAGGAGTGCAGCTGTTATTTTTTGAGTGAAGGGTCTGGCAACTTAGGTGTCGAGAGAGGCCTGGACCAGCTGCTGAGCTCTGGCAGCAGATGCAGAAAACTGTTGTAGTCCAAGCAGGGGGTGAATAATTCTGCATAATTTAGTGGGTTTCGGTGAGATTGTGTCCCATTTGTTTTGTAGTTATACTAAAGTTAAGTAAAGTTATGTGTTGAATTGAGCTTTTTACTCCCAGCCTGCTGGCTTATGGTTCTTAGGGTATTTAAAAGTAAAATGGGAGGCAGAGGCCTCAGCTTTTTTTTTTTAAAACCAACTCCCAGTTTGGATTTGGGCTTAAAACGTTTATTTTTGACAAAGTTTGTAGTTAGGGCTGGATCAGGTGACCCTAAACCCACCCTTAGTTATGCATGTAGTATTTATTACTAATTTCTGATGCCTTTGTCTCGCCTCCCCTCCCCCAACCAGTCCCCAAACCACTAACACTCAATATATGAAAATATGAAAGGTGATTTTTGTTATATTAAGTAAAATGTGGCCATTAAAATGTGTTCAGAATTTGCAAATTGATGATCTCATAAATGATAACGCGTTACTCTCCCCTACACCGCATCCATCAGCCTTTATAGGTAACATTAAGTATTAGTATCGGTAATATTGGCTCTGTATGTACTTGGTATTTGCAGGATTTGCAGAATCACACAGCATTACTCTTCACCTTAGAACGTCGAGCAGCTTGAAGTGACTTATTGTGATTCGACACATAAAAAAAAGTGTACTTTTAATGTAATGAAGCAAAACAAAGTCTTTATTTATTTATTTATTTATTTATTTGACAGTACAGTCAGTTCTGTAGAATAGAACTCATCAGTTTTTCTCTCTTTACCCAAAAATAAACAACTCAAATCCCTCTTCGTTTTTTTCAAGTTAGCATGACTATCTGTGTTGCATACATTTACAATGCAATAATAGTTCCCTTTCATGAGGTTAACACAAACGGAACTTAAATCAACATACTGTACACAAATGTATGGCCCTACAGCAGATTACTGTTTGTCATAAATTACATTCAGATGAATTGACACACACACACACACACACAAAAAAGCAAAGCATACACGCACAAACACACATACACCATCTCCTTGTTTCTTCAGTCTTATCATTTGTTTTTTTAAATACTGAAAATGGTCTGATTTTGACAAACACCTTGCTCTGCCATGAAGCATTGAGCAGCATCAGTGTACTGTCGGGTTTTTACCCACTGTTAGAAATGGAAATGTTTTTAAGATTTTACTATAAGTGCCAAAAAAACTGATTAATATAATGAATGAAAGGATTCCAAATGTGAGATTTCAAAATAAATAAAATCCTCAAAATTCCTTCATTTAAACAGCTGTCATTACAGATGTGCTTACTTTTTACAATCCACGTACTTCAATGATTGCTAAGTATCCGTTTCCCCCCCTCCACCAAAAAAAACCTTTGCTTGTTTAGTCATTTAATCATCAAGAACCACAGCAGGTCAGCATCCATTCATCCCACTAAACACTCACTGGTCCAGGTGCAATGCCCAAACTCGAACTCTAATGGAAACAATGTGCACAACAAAATGTCAGAGTGGCAATGAACAAAAGAAAGTCTGTTTGACAAATCGGATGTGCTTAAAAATCCCCCGCTTCATAAGCGAGCATCAAAGTGTGAGTTCAAACGGCAGCAACTGGACCCGCTTCAGTGACACCAAACCATCAGCAGGAAACTGTTGCAGACGAAACAACAAGCTGTTAAAACCAGCGTGAATATTTCAAGTCGCTCCATTTTTTAAAAAATCCTTTTTTTTTTTCTTTTTTTTTTAAGTTACATTCAGAAATCAAGTCTTGTTTAATATTGCTTTAATCCTTTTTTACTCCCGCGCATGCTTGACAGAATAAATAACAAAAGGTGTCAGCATGTATGCAAATTATTCTGCTACAAGGGGCACATGCAATATGAGCAAAAAAAAAAAAAAAAAAAAAAAAAAAAAAAGGAAATGAAGGAAACTAACTTCAAGCCTGCACGACAATGGTCCCTCCCAGTATTCACCAGCATATAACTTTGGTTTACGGTGAAAGCTCAGCGGTTAGCATGTTGCAGAGGTTTTTGCAATGTGGCAGCTTCCATTAAAATGTTATCGACCACTTCATGCATCGAAATCTCAATCAAATCACCCAACATTCATTGTTGTCCTCCAGCTGACTAGACAAATACAAAAACAGAGGTGAGCCAAAATTGGGGGGGGGGGGTACTCGTGTTCTCTGCAGGTCTGTAGTCACAGTGCTTTAGCAGATGTCTGTATCTAGACCTGGTCTGTATCCCCCTTCACATGTGCACCAAACGCCCCCCAATTTTTTTAAATGACAAAAACAGAGCCACAAACACTTTAAATTGGCATAGGTACATTTATGTACCCTCTCTACTGCATACCGTACAATAATAATAATAATAATAATAATAATAATAATAATAATAATAAAGGCAACATAAAATATGAAGTAATCAACTAAAACAAACGCAGATCCATATTCCACAGACATACAGTATGTTCGTTTTTAGGCACATAAGAAAATTCAGTCACAGCAAGAGGACATAAAGCCCCAATCTGGATTCTCTCTGAAAGTATAAATTACAAAGAGGGGAGGGGTTGCTGGCAGAAAATAATCTCGATCTCTAGAGCCATGGCCACTGCTACGTAGCATAGCTTTCAGCTAACTCCACTGCATTGCAACACACACATAATGCAGGAGTAGCATTCATAAAATGCAGTCTGGACTACATCTGTCACAATTAGAGACAAGCACGATCTGAAAGGTTTTAATAAAGACATTAATAGGACCACTATTTGTATGTTAGTTTAGTCAGATTGCCTTTGTCTCCAACCGCGACTTAAATATCGAGCAGATCACATTTAATGAGTCGTCACTGCAGAAATCACAGTCATTCAAAACTTTTTTCTTCCAGTTCCTAAACTGAAGCTCTTCTAGTTTCGCTTTGGCTGACGGTCTTTGGCAACACTGGACTGGACACGACAAACACTCCTTGGCTGCACATCGAGTTAAAAGTTAGAAAGCAAAGCCAAAAACTGGAGGAGTATCTTGTTTGTAGTATCAGCAGGTTTACATAGGACATACACATTACATCTGGTGTATGGCCATGTGTAATCTTAAAAGTAAAGATTACATCCGGTGGTGTGAATGCACCGACTGTGTAGTCCAACAGTACAGTGTAGAACCCCAGTTTCTGCATAAATCAAGAAGAATTTGTTACATTTTTCTGCAAAAACAGGTAACGTGGGCGACACGTGCACCAGATCGGGCCTTTAATATTATACTATATGACACAGTATACTGTATGTCCAATATACTGGGCAGTTACAACAGACAAGAAGGCAACATCATTAGTCTGGCCTGACAGAATATGAGTATAACACAGTGTAACAGTTCTTAGCCAGTATTTCCATCCCACCTCACTTATCATGACTGTTTAGAAAGATGAATAATTGTAGTTGGACTGTGTCACTCGTCTGTTTTTTAACCTTTTTCGTCCGGGAGAGATGACTGCGGTGTAGTTGCTTATGCTGTTTTGTTTTGTAAATGAGTGTGTGTGGGTGTGCACGTGTGGTCGTGTCATAAGTACTGTACTGCTCTGTAAAATACGCGAGACTGTGTGTTGTAATATGATGTAATACGCTTAATGCTTCCATTATGTCCCGGTTTCTTCATCGTTGTGTTGGTCGTGTGTGGTCGAATCCCCCACCTCGCCTTTTGGCCTGGTGTGTCTCTGTATTATCGTCTGCGATGTGACCATTTCCAGTGCATTTAGAGTCTGTGGTACGTGCACGCCTTTTGTGACCAGTGTCTTCTTTTTTGTTTGCACTTTGCCCGTTTCCTGTGTGTGCGCTGTGAGTTGTTGTGTATGTGAGGTTTGCATCGTATGCGGTATGAGTATCTCTGTGCTGGGGGGGCCTCCTGGGTCTTTCATCACCATGCTGGCCCCCACCATGGCGGGATAGCTTCGATTCCTCCTCAGTCCTGGAAGCCCCCCACCCAGTGCGCTGTTCCCCAGTCCAGCAGAACCAAAGGGGCCTAACAGAGTACTTCCAGATGAAGCTGAAGCAGAATGTGGGGAAAGGGTGCGAAAACTCTTCAGTTTGTCCACAAGCCGCAGATTGATCATCTCTGTTTGGTTGTCATCGTCCACCTGGCCCTCCTTCTCCCTTTCTGCCTCCCCCAGCACTTCCCTCAAAATTGTACGAGCCGGCTTAGACGCGAGGAAGGTATCGTAGAACGGCGGGTCGTCATCGGAAGGGCTGAACTGAAACATGGGGCCTGTAGCGATCGAGGAAGCCGATTTGGAGTGAGGTGAGCTGGGTGGGCTGGATGGCTGAAGGAGGAGGAGGGTGTCTGGACGTTTTCCCAGGTGCTTGACTCCACCCTGCTCCGGTCTCTCTGTGCACCTCTGTGCTTGAACCCCTCCCAACACTGCCGAAGCATCCAGCCCTCGGTCCCAGCTGCGTGGGTTGTACACTGAGGCAGAAATTCCATTCTCCAGCAGGAGGCGCACCAGGCCTAGAGAGGTGCTGGTGGTTTTAGTGGAGTCCCTAAGGTTGGTGGAGGACTCGGCGAGGGAGAGGGAGAGGGAAAGGCGGCGAGGTGTGCAGCAGGGTGTGTAGGAAGGCGTGGGTGGGGCTGAGAAGGGTACAGGGGAGGCAGTAAGGGAAGGCGTGCCCAGGCAGGTACTGCTCTGACACGCAGCCATGGCTGGGCTGGAGAGGAATGGAAGGACATAATACAGAAAAATGATGAGTAAGCATAACCAAAATTATACAGACACCACCAGCCTTTAATATGACTATTAAATCTTATCCTGTTCTGGAAGACTGAGCCGTGCACACAAGTTTAAGCTCAAATCTGCACATTGATTTGTACTTTTAAAACTCAGAAACATCAAGTCTGATTGACACATTGTTCACACATTAAACAATTTAATCACACAGAAAGTTAGTTCATCAAGCCCCGTATACATGGTGAAGAAACATTAAGCACAGCAGTCCAATTTGTAGCCCTTAACCGCTCTGCAGGGAGTACACCGTCACGTGACATTTATCTAATGGGAAAAGTGCCAGAAAAACTGAGACTGTAAACTAACTGACTCCAAGATGAAAGCTGACTCAAGCATTAAAAGTGAGTGATCTCCTTTCAGCCAATGCTCAGAACACTTTGTTCAATCAATCAAAAAAAAAAAAAAAAAAAAATGGACCTCTTTGCTTAGTTTATTTCCACCGAGTATAACACAGTTGGATTTAATCAGATTGGATCAGTGATTGGATTCCTGGATGTCAGGTTTGTTAGTTACAAAGCGGCTTCTAAACAGGGAAACTTATGAGGCAAATAAGAAGCACACTGTCCAGTGACTAACTAGAGGACACAGCTTTTAAAAATGACATGTTTGTGTTGCAGAGCTTTTTCACAGTTTAGTGCTTGTGAAATTTGCCTCACGCAGCTGCCCACAAGTCGCTGCCCACTAAGTTTGACCAGACAAAAGAGAGACGGTGCAAATTCCCCAAAGTTATTCTGCTTCACACCAGCAAATCTTTAGAAATGCACTACCATGCATTTCCTCACCCATGCGCACACTAGTAGGTGCACTCAATGGGTCTGCTCTACTTCGGCCATAACAACCATGTGATACAACTCCAGTTCTTCTTCCTCGTCACATGACCTGTTAAGCCAATCAAGACATTGAGTGTTATGCGCCAGGCCTACGGCAACACAGAAGCCCTGTCTGGAATGAAAATCAGAGAAAACCTGGCTCGTTCAATTACCTACTACTTCAAGTCTGCCATTTAGTACAGATATAAAACAATATGTCTGACTGCCAGCTGTTGTTTATCATTACACAAATCAGGTTAAAGACAAAGGTTTATCAATGAAGTATTTAAGTGTTGATGTGTTTATTTATTCTTTACCTGGGGGATGCAGTAGTCAGCTGATCAGAGGGGTGGAGAATCCTGCAGGTGGTGAAGGTATATGTGGAGCTAGTGTGGGACATACACTTCCCTGGGAAAAGAACTGGAGGAGAAAGGAAGGGAAGGAAAAAAAGAAGAGAGGGGAAGATTTTTAGTGTTGACACATAATAGACCAAACACAACGAGGCAAAAAAAATGTTAACAACAACGTGGAGAAAATAGACCGTGGGCATAGTACAGGACCCGAGCAAAAGCCCCAGCTAACATTAGCCCCCCCAGTATACTTGTTTCTGTTAGAGAAACTCGAAGTCTATCCCAGCTAATAGCCTTGGTTGTGAAAATGGAGCTGCTAAGGGTGAGCCTCGACAACAAGAAGCAGCAGCTGAATCAGTCACACACTCATCTGATGTGACTGAATATTCAGTTTGTATACCTAAAGCATAAAGATGCGTTTATTCCACTTTGATCTTTTATAAATTATGAAACACTTAAATGAGGTAGAAGAGTTAAGTTATGAGGCAGATTTTTCATTGCAGTGGTATTAAAGTTACAACCAAGGCCACACGGGGCTGATTCACTGCAACACTTTAACTTTTTAGTGTTAATAAAGAGATCCATGCCTCTCAAGTTGTGCTCTGCTTTTACATTCATATTAATTACAGTTATAGCACCACAATGTTTACACCCTTTCTAGGGTTAAGTTCACTTGAATTTCTTGCATTAATTTGTTTTATTATTCTCTGTGTTTCCCTGTACTGGGAACACTTACAAAGGTTTATTCTAGTCTGCGCCTCTTCTCCATTTTAAATGGTACCATGTTGACTTAATAAAAATAAAGCTTTGGGTTTTAAATTCTCTCTCTCATTTTTGGCTCGTAGCCGTAAAGTTAAAGCCACCCACTCCCACAAGATTTGTACTCTGGGACAAGAGAATATCAATGGCACGGCAGTCATCCACACCAAAGCTGCTCAGTAGGCTCCAATATTAGCTAGCCGCAAGCGCTACGAGTTCATGTGACTCGAACAGCTGCCCCAACAGCACTTGACCTGCCAAATTTCTTTCTGTATCTGCGTGCTTGTGTGCTACAAAACAGTATAGCTTAGCATGAAATATTAAACCCTCCTGCTCCTAAATAGTGTCTAAAATGTTTTATAGAATATACCTAAAGATACTAAAGACTTTGCAAAAGATGAAAAACTTTGAGTGTAAGCGTAATTGGCTGAAATAAAGGAAAAAAAGTGGCAGCAAAAGAAAGTGTGAACTGAGAAGAAAGGCTGCAGATGGAAAATGACGGAAATGAAAGAACAAAAATAAAAACATGTACTCTGTCTCGTTGCCGTTCGCTGGCTGCATACACGGGGACAGCTCCTGGGGTGGGTGCGTGTGCAGGTGTGTACACATGAGCGTGATCATGCAGGATGGGATGTCACGTGTCCAATGAATCCTTTCTCCTGCCCCTAAACCCGCCACCCCTCCTGTTCACCCTCGTCCCCTTTATCCCCATGCTCCAGGGCAAACATGAAGGTGTTGTGGTTTGATGCAGTGCTGTAACCCCAGCTAAGAGGCTCCCTCACCAGGCATGCGGTCCACAGTGTTTGGCTGTAAGGTTTGGCGCTCTTTGGGGTCCACATGCCCGTTGATGTCGGGAGAAAAAGGCAGCGGAGAGGAAGGGGACGTGTTGGAGAGAGGAAAGGGCATGCTCGCAACATGTCCATCATTTCCCTGAACTGCTTCTGCCACCGCGCAGATCGTTCCATTCAGTGTGTCTGACTGGCTGATTTCTTCAATGTTGCCATTTTTGTTGTGGCAGACTGCGGGAGTAGAGGTAGAGCGAGGCAGATCCGTGGGAGCAGGGCTCTCCCCTAGCACGGCTCTAAATGAGTCACATGATACTTCATCCTCCTCTGGTTGGTCCAGCTGCCAGCTGTCCTCCTGTTCCTGTTCCTGTTCGTGGGCTAAAGTGCGGAAGCCCTTTGTGACCACACCGGGCCGATGATCCAGCAGAGCACCCATGTGAGGCTGAGCCAGCTGCTGCCATGCGTGGAGCGTAGCAGAGCCTAGGAAAAAACACATCTTCAAGTTACACGAAAATCAACAGCAGCTTCAGCTATTTTTAACAAGTTCGTGACCTCCTTTAAACACGCATACAGAAAAAGTACCACAAAATCTGTGATTGTCGATTACAGATATGTTCTTATCAAGTTTTCAATGATCACAGGTTAAACAAACTACATCTGTTTAAACTCTAAAAGCACCTGATTATTGCAGGTGAACACGAAGACGTCACTTATGTTCAGTAGGTGTTGTTTATGTGTTGAAATGTGCTTGAAAACTAGAAAATTATTGTTAGTACGTTATATATACACATATATAAACTAGGCTAAGCTCCAAAGTAGAGACGAGAACACATACATATACAACAAATGCACATTCTTAGATTATAACACTGTCACAGCATTTCTTTATGCAGCACACAGAGACTCTCGCACACAGCACTGAGGGTGGATGTCACGACAAAGGAGAAATGTCTATAGGCCAAAGTGTCTTCGCACACCGGACTGCTTGAATTTCAAGTCTAGAAAAATGGTTTTCTACTAGAGATGCATTTTGAGAGATGCCACTGCAAAAGAACAAACGCAGAAGAAATGAGAGAAAAGGAAAGTGGAAAATGATGAAGACTTTATTCAAGACATCATCAAAGAAAGCAAACAAGGAGAATAGAACAAGAGTAAAGTGCAAAGACCAAAGTGAACTGAAAGGCCAACAAATGACGAGTGGAAGAGGTGGACAGTACATACAGCATCATGACACTGATGAAAGGCTCAGAAACTTATGAACACAGATGAACATTTAAGAAATAATCACCTGAGATTGTTTCTACATTACTTCTTATTTCTGCACCGCTGTTAGACTTGAAATGAAACATTTCCATCTTTTTTTGTTTTTTACATTTTCATAAGTTCACGTGCTTGGAGAACACATTTTTGTCCTATGACGCAAATGGTTGCAACTTCAAGTTTGGACACTAGGTGGTGCCATCGTACAAGATGTAAGGAAGCTTTCAGTTCCACTGGACAATACTGAGAGTGGATGGATGATTGAAGAGGTCACAAGTACACGTTAACAAAAAACAGGTTTCCGAGATCCTCTGCATTAGAAATATTTGCTGTTATTATAAATATAGTGATAACTGCTCTGTATCAACAATCCAACACTAAGAATTCAATAAATAATAAATAAAGCTCCTCTATTAGAACAAGGCATCAGAAACATGTTCAGCATGTGTTCAAAAATACAGAAAGTGCATTTCAAATACCATACAGGAAATCACTCACTGCAAATGTGTCAGTGAGCATGTGTTGTTATGTGCTAGGTAGGCTTTTTAACACATTATGGCTGTGCACAACTTTATAGTTTGAGACACGCTCCAATATCCAAGTACAACACTTGAATAAAATATTAGGAAAAGAAATCATTAAATCTACTTTGTATAAGTTACTGTGTGCAGAACGTTCTTTGAACTATTCTCATTCTTAAACTGCAGCCTTCGAACCAGTGCACTGCTCCACACACAGCAGGCTAACCTATATTTCAAAGCTGCAGCGCAACTGCGTATGTCTAAAATAAAAGGAGTGCTGCAGATTTAAACTACCATCCTGTTGCACCAACCTCTCCAGCAGACCTGTGGCTACAGCCAGCGGAGGCTGTGAGCTTGAGAAACTGCTCAGCTCCATCAAACTGGAGCTCCTTCGCAGCTTGTTAGGATCTGGTGAGGCGCTCAGAAAGATCTTGGACTGATTGCATTTGTGAAAAATCAGGTATTGATTCTCATTCTGAGTTGCTTGACTTTGGGTTTCACAGCCCTGGCTGCATGCTGTGGGAGGAGTGAGGCTGGAATTTTGCACCTGGTTCTGATTTTCATTGTGTTTTTTCTTCAAAATCTCATTTTCATTGCGAAAGGCTTTTTCACTGCTGAAATTCTGATTTACTTTTTCATCATGTGGAAGATTCGAGGACTTGTGACTCTGAGAGGAATAATCACCTTCTAGCGGCTTTACAATCTGCAGCTTCTCTGGCAGGTAGGATCTGGGTGTGAATGAGTACCCCGACCAGATGCTTCCAACTGAGGTATGTGAGGAAAGCGAGAACAAGCTTTCCGTTGGGGTTCCTGGTCCTCCTTTTTCCTCCTCTTTGGCCAGGTAAGCCAGCTTTCGCTCCCTCTCCTCCTCGAAGAATCGTTTTTCTGAGAGGTAGTTGTCCCGGCGGAGCGACAAGCGACGCAATGCTGCCTCCAAGTCCCTGCTGCCCGGAGTCCCAGGGGTACCAGGGGGGCGCTTGTTGGAGTCCTCTGACCTGAAGAGGGAGACAGACAGCGGTACAGTTTTTTGCAAAGTTAATCTCTATTTTGAGATAATAAAATGATCGTTTAATTTAATTCACTATCAAAAGGGGAAAAAATAAGAAGAAACCTTAAATAATTGTGTTATTTCACTCTTAAGTGTATAAAAAACCCTCACAAGTCATTTGGAAAAATAATCCAAACGTTTGAATCAGAGAAGAAACTAAGTTTTTCAACTTACTGTCATATATGACAAATAAACACAGGGAATTGTTTGTGAAACTGGAACTACAAGGTGTTTGCCAAACTTTGAAATGAGAACCTTAATCAAATTTCAAAACAGCTGCAAATGAGCACTCTGTTAATTACCTAACTGGGATGCTTCTAAATTAAATACATTTCATCAGGTCATTATGCTTCATCATTCAAATCTACGGTCCGTAGCGGGAGCGATGTCCATACCCGTCATCAGGCGTCTCCAGGATACTGCTAGTCCTGTTGTCTAGGATGATCCCACTTCCTGTTTCACTACCATAAATGGAGTTGGAGCGTGGCGTGCCCACCCTGCTGGAACGCCCTGAGGTGAAGCATGAAGTCTGATTGGAGCCTGGGATGTTGAGAGGAGAGGGGGCTAGAGATGAACGCTGCTGACGCATCAGATTGAGGTTTCTCACTGTTTGGAAAACTCGCTTCGGATGCAGTCTGCAGACACACAAACATGGAGTTGATGGATGACTTTTAGATTATTACAAATGATTAACATCTGAATCAGATCATACTGTGGAGGAAAAAAAGGATATGTACCTCTGCTCTTCTACGTCTGGATCATCCATTTGGAGTTCCTTCCTCATGGTGCCCTCTATTTCTGCTGCCAGTGAGTCCTGGAGAAGAAACAAATTGCTACTTGGGAACTGAAGATGTTGTGATGCAGACAGACAGTCTCTCTTCTAACTACGTACATTTCTTTTGCATTGTAAAAACCCTTAAAAATTTAACTCCATCACTCACCATCGGGAACAGGCCCAGGGAATGGAAACGCCTCGCCGTGCTGAGCGGGAGAGTTTTATTTCTCAGGTTCTTCAGTTCCTCCTGAGCTTCATGCAGCATCTCCATACACTCTGCATACTTGTCTTGCAACTCCTGCAACTAAAAGTGAAGAAAGGAGGAAGAGCTTTACAGAGAAGAAAATGAAACGCACTGAAGCAGAGTGTTTCACCTCCAGCCTGGAGGTCATTTGTCTCCTGTTTATCTCTCAGTTACATTTAAACAGTGACAGGACTGATTTTCATACAATTTGCTTCTTGGAGAGACTGAGCTTTGCATGCTAAATTTGGTGATATAATAATATGTGAAGACAGGAGAAGCCATCAGCAGCATCTCTACTGGACCAATAACATGTGTTGATGGAAGCATGTGGAAGATGATTACTTTATAATTAGCATCTTAATAATAAAGTAATCATTTTTAAATCATAAAATCTAACAAAAAATACAAATCTGATGGCAGGAATATATATGTCATACTACAAATTTGCCTCATCTGGCAGCAGCTGGCAATGCAGAAAACACAGTGCTGTTGCCATGGTGACCAGGCCCTGGACTGCCCTACCTCAGCAGTGAGTTGTCGCTGGGCGTCTTTGGCTGCACCCAAGTGCTGAGTCAGCTCCTCATTTTCCAAAGCATACTGACAACACGGCAGACAAAACAGGACAACAGGTGTGAAACCGACTGCATTCAAAGTATTTTTAGCGTTTAATGTAATCTGAGACAAAGATCGGGACTTTCGTACAAGCTTGGCCTTCTTCTGGAGGTCGACTATCTGGGAGAGGAGGTGTGTGATCTCCTCCTGCTGTCTGGAGGCGTCCTCAGTCTTCCTAGCCAGTTCTTCAGCCAGAGAGGAAATCTGCAGGTTGGCATCGCCTGGGAATGAGAACAGGTGTTCAGCAAAATACAGCTTATGGCCACACTGCTTCTAAAGAGTGACTGTGATTGTGTGTGTGTGTGTGTGGGGGAAACAAATAAACAAAAAAAGCCACTCACGTATTTCTTTGACACAGTCATTGACAAGTTGCTGCTCTTTTTCCTCATAGGAGATCGTTTCTGTCTCCAAATGACTCGCCTGGAGGGAAAATGAAAATAACTTCACATCACAGCAAAGATAAGATCATGCTTATAATTCATATAAGACTTTCTTATATGAATGTTTTTTATAGGGAATCTATAAGATGGTAGTGAGACCTGCTATGATGTATGGTTTGGAGACACTGACAAAAAGACTGGGGGCCAGTTAGAAGATTTTCAATGGAAGTGACCAGAATGGACAAAGTCAGAAATGGTTTTTGGCTCAGTGGGCTTGAGGGGCAGTGTCAGGGAGGCTGAGGTCCAGGTGAAGGGAATTAGGCTGATGAACTCTCTTTTCCCTTTTAGTGATGTCGGGGACCGGCAATGTGAGCGTGGAGCCAGCTGGAAAACTGGCCATGGCTGAACTAGCAGTGCCAATCTAAACACATTGGGTGTGTGACATATAAATAAAAGTGACTAAACAGTTACCGAACGCCGTGTGGGTCTGAGTCATTCACTGAGTACTTCAGACTGACAGCTCAGCTCAAGTTGAATATTTTGGAGACAAAGTTAAAGAGGCAAGGCTGGACATGAGCAGAGGAGGGACAGTGGATATACTGGACAAAGGATGCTGAAGACGGAGCCGTCAGGCAGGAGGAAAAGAGGAAGACGACAGTGGAAATTCATGGATATAGTGAAGGAGGACATACTGAGTAGTCAAAAGAAGAAGAAAAGTAGTTTTCTAGTGCATGCGCGTTAGACTATCATGCAAAAAAAAAAAAATACCTCAGATCGCAATGATTTATTCTCTTCCTCCAAATCCTTGAGTTTCTTCTGCAACGACTCCAGGGGGAAAAAGTTTGGCGATGACACACTTGGTTCACTGGGACGGACGCTGTGAACACACAGGAAAGAGTTGCGCTTGTTAGTTTAAGTAATTCAACAGACTTTATATATTTTCATTAAAAAAAACCTGTTAAAACCCAAAGAACCTTAAGTTAAAATGTGATATTATTAGAATTAATTTTTTGTTTTGGTTTTTTTGGAACAATGAGGAAATACACTGAGCAGCAAGGAAAGGAGGTAATAAAAGGAGACTTACGGTGTAGAGGTAATCGACTCGCCGTCGCTTTCTTCGGCTGCATTGGTGTAGAACTGTAACAGCTCATCTTTCATGGACAGGTCGTGGCGCAGCTGAGACACCTATAAGGAGACGATTGACGTCAGAAGAAGATGGGGGGGGGCATGCAGGACGTTCAGCTCATCACAGACATACATTATAGTTCCCACCACCAAATACTGAAGCACTGACGAGCACACATTCGTTGTTTACCTCCTCTCGTATGTGCTCCACTTGCTCCTCCAGCAGTTCATTCCTTTCACTGAGGGCTTTGTTTTTCTTCAGCAGTGACTGTCCGATGCGAGCCGCTAACTCCAAGTCACGCTCTTTCTGCAGAGACAGAGCTGCGTTTAGCAAAATGAATTTCAATAGTTTAAACATTTGCAAAGACCAGTGTTAGTAATTTTCCCTGTTTCAGGTCTACGTAAACTAAACCCCTCAACCATTAGCCTAGTTTAATATATAGATGCTTGTTTCAGCTGCTCCTTTATTAGAAAAATGGGTTTGAAGGATCTGTATATTTGATTTAACACAGAGTTTTTATACCAGACAACCCTTCTTAGCGTGTATCAGAATTACTCAAACCAGCTTTAAATGTTGGGTAAATTCAAATACATCAGTAAAGAAAAGGACAAAACAAAAGAGAGCGGCAAAAGCAACACAATATCCACTAATCACTAAATATGAACCTCAAAAGGAAACCTTTGTACATCAGCCGCACTGGAAAACACCCGTCAGTCAACATGAGGCAATAATTAAAAGCTTATTGTTAACTAGCCACTCCTGTTTCTATCACTACATCAACAGGACTATTTATTGTACTATTAAAAGCTACCAGCAAAGCAAATACTGCAATAGTTTCATGTGCTACAAGAAATAAAAATAACTGACATGTTCAGAAATATACAGATCTGACATTAATTGCGCTCGCAGTAATGGAAGTCATGTGTTTGGTGATGGTGCTGTTTGTCTAAGCCATGCTTTCACAATGCTGTCCGGTTGCTCGGGTTCATACTTTAACAGTGACGTCACCCTGTTTTCCTCCCTGCTTTACATTCTGTTGGTCAGCGCAGTCAGCTGAGGAGGATAAAGTTACATTTGAATATTGGCCGATGGAAACGGCTTTTATGACGTTGCTTTCTTTGTCGCAACCCTGATAAATCCGCCCGCGTTTTGACTATGACATAACACCATGTGACCGAATGGCCTTGCAGACCCTCTGACAGTGTCCTGGGTTCCTGGTTATTCTACTTTATTGGATTTTACCTCTTCCAGCAGTCGAGTGACAGCGTCAATGTCGCTGTAGGTCTTCGTCATCTGGCCCACTCTGTCAGCGCACAACACTGCAGACACAGAAACAGTGAAAGCAACTGAGTGCTGAACATTTCCAGAAGAAGCTTTAACAGTTCTTTTTTTTGACTCTATAATATAAATCATGTTATTAAATCATAATCTAGGCTGATTTCATGTATGCTTTCATATCACTCAAGCCAGAAAAAAGCACTATGGGCAACTTTTTGGGCAATTTATTGCCTCTTTAAAGATTTTCCATTTTTGTCATACATGCAGATACCGCCAAAGAAAATTAAATATAACATTTAATATAATAGAAAGAGGATGGATGCTTTAAGGAGTTAGTTTCTATTTTTATACCTGACAAACATGACCTGTATAAAAGTAAATACTTATAAACATGTCCAGTTTTGGGATTTACTTACCTGGATGATTGAGCATGCATTAAGACATTTGTACAATAATGTGTTGGAAGAAAAGGCCTCATATACGGCTCATAGTTATAACGGGTGTGGGCTGTGGATGTGGAGTGCATTAGCTTTATTTATCTACATGCATATGCCCGGTTTTACAGCCCTGTGCAGCACACAGCGCAGACAGCACTAAAGTCATGAAAGCATAAATACGCCAACAATGACCCTCTGCATAGCTCAGGGTTTTTGTTCCTAGCAAATGACTCAGAAAAGATAAGTTATTGAATAGTGACACAGAGGTCAAAGTGAAGGGCCACGCCTCAGCCATGCTGCTTATTATTAACTCCCTCAGTCCTCAAACAGAGGAGTTTACATCTGTATGACTTCATAGTTTAATTTGGAAACGATTCATAGACCGATAACCTGCATAAAACAACAAAACCAGCTTGTCTGTTCCTTGATACCAACTTGTTTCATTCAAATTTATTAAAAAAAAAATTATAGCAACCTTTTTAGAAAGTATCTTCACTTGTGAGTGCAGTTTTTTGTTTTTTTTTTTAAGTTTCTACTGCATGAAAAGTGAGACTTTCATAAATGAACACTGCTATAAATTCCTGTGGAAATGCACATTAACAGCAGAAACTCGGGGGCAGGGAAGAATGCTTTCACACCAAGTTTCAGCCTGAAAGGACTGCAGTTCACCCCCATACCCCTGCTCAGGCCCAGGGGAGCCTTTAAAATGTAAATGTTGTGAGCTATACAAATGCAAATCATAGTAGTATGGAGCCATCAAGCTCCACTAGTTACACACATTTCTAAAAAGGTACCAACTCCATTTTAAGATCATCTCTTTTTGATCAGGCTTATTTTAGTTGTAATCCCATAAATTGTCACTGATAGATTTGCAATATGTCGGTAAGCTCACCAAGATAAATTATGTTATTTGTAACCAATAATAAATTGTTAATAAGTAATTTCATCAACATGCTAAACTGTGTGACGTTCTGGCAGAATGCAAAAGAGAGCCGGCCAATGTAAACAACAGATTTTCATGTCCTTGTGTGGTGCAGACCTCATATGGCTGCTGGAAACAAGGAAAAGGATGCTTGATGGAAATAAAAGTTAATAATGGATTAAATCCTTAACTAAGTAAGCTAACAAAGGTAGGAAACGTTGAAGCCCTACCAAGGCACTTTATTTGATTAAATAAGGGCACCTTGGCTTGTTTGCCCTTTACTTTTTGCCAAAAGTTTCACGGGCAATTTCAAATCAGGTCTTCACCTAAACCCTGCATCTTATTTCTATTTATTTTTTATTTATTTATTTTTACTGTTTTTGTCGTTTGTGCCTTTTGTGTCATTTTTTACAGAGACAATGATAAGTGGATAAGTTCAGTACATATAATGTTAGGACTATTACCAAACCCACATTTGTCTGCTAGCACTACAAGTTTATTATAAGTTAATTAAACATGGGCTCTCTAAAGTCAGGAAGTGTTGTTCTCTCACGATCCGGATTGCTGGGGTCACGTTTCAGCATAAAACAAGTTGTTGAGTTACAGATATGGACTGAAACCTCAACTGGCCTTTTTGTGTGAAAACGAGCCGGTTGAGAAGGTTCAGGAATGTTATGCTTCCTTCTGGATGCCTCATTTTGGAGGTTTTCCAGGCATGCACATGTGGAATCATGCACCTGCTGCATCTCATCTCTATTGAGAGGAGTCTTGGGATCTCTCTGGAGGAACTGGAAAGTGTAGGGAGAAGAACGTCGAATATCCGGCTTTGCCTGCTGTGAGCTGACTTGCATAAGTGGAGGATGGATGGATGGCACTAGTGCACTGACATGCCAATATTCAAGCTACCTTGATAGTAATACTAAAAATAAATGGAAAAAAAGAAAACACAGTCCCACTTCAAAGAGGTTGATCACAAAAGGCTAACTATCTGTCAGACACAAGTGTGTCTCACACACACACACAAAGAGAAACATCCATGCTCAGTCTTTTCTCATGTTTGCGTTGCTGAACCACAAACCTACTGGAATAATTTGGTATGAGGAAACCTGTGTACGTGCACTCACGCACAGACAGAGACACAACACCCACAAGACATTTATTTACTTGATATCTGGCCTAATAGAGGACTCTGCTGCGGATAGTGAGCGTGCGGCCTGTTTACCTCCAATCTATCAAACTCTCCATGCTGACTTGGTTCCATGGTAACACTCCACCCAGGTCAAACGGCTAAGCTGAAAAAAGTGAGGATGGTTTGACTAACAAAAGCTGATCTGACTACAGAAAGTCTGTCTATTACTGACTGACTTTAATAAGCCAGTCGGGTGAGAAACAGGCATTAAAGACAAACAGCACAGGTTAGAGAAGGTGACTGTAACCTGGATTATCAAAGAGGAAGCGTAACCTAATTCTGAGAGGTGAGCAGGATGTTTTCTTGATATATTATCCAAAGTCTGGGTAACTTAAGACACGCACACACCATCTCTTTCTATTTATTTTGCTCCAAGACGATGACAAAGGAAAGGGGACATCAGACAAGTGGTCCTATTCAGCAGCTGTGAAAACTATGTGGGTTTTGGAGATATGTAGGACTAAAGACAATCACCTTAAACACAGATATCTGATTTGGTGACTCTGTATTTAGAGCCATAATGTAATCAAACCTCCACGTGAGCACACCCTCGTGGCCTTTGGTTTTGTGTGTGCAGCAGAAGTAGTGGGTGCGCTTGAAGTCTGGAGTTACAGACATTATAATAACCTTAATTGTAGCACACAGGTTCATAGAAAAGAAAAGAAAAGAAAACAGAAAGGAAGCCCTGTTATTCACATTAATACCCCAAGCACAGCCTGTGTAGACCATTAAATACCACGTCTTTAGCTGGAGCAGCACGTATTTATCTTAACAGCCACTGCAAAACATATCCATGTAACAGCAGCCGACGTAAACGCGCTGACCAAACACTTCACACATTATCGAACATTTAATGCGAAGAGACTTTTTTTTCTTGCTTAACAAATTGGCATTAGAGTGTACGTGCAAATCCCTCATGATGCACATCCTTCTCCCTCATCTCTTTTTAAGGATCCCTGAAACAAACCCTAGAAGGATTAAACACAGAACGAGCGCGTTTGCAGTTCAAACTGCAGCCTGCTGGCTCTTCATATCAAAAACAACAGTCACAGCTGAGATGAAAAGCCAAGCCCATATTTGAACTTGTCAGCCCAGCAGTCAGGTGAACCGTGCTGTGTTGAAGCCAAACACACAAATAATCAACATCAGGGAGAGTACCCGCTGGATGAAACCACAGCCACAGGAGATATGATAGCCTACAGATGCCTACAGGAAGGTTAAATGGCGTCTGTTATTTTTATATAGTTCCAAATCGTATAAACAGGTGTCTTACTGCACTGAGTGATAAGGATTAACAAAAGTAACATCAAGAGATTTAGTCACATCTCACTGCTACCTTCACACAGAACTTGCTGCTCTTCATCCATTTCTTCATCCCCTTCGGACCTTCCATCACTGGGAAAACTGGTATATTCTTCCTCCTTCTCCTTTTCTTCTTCTTCCTGCTCTGTGCTGTCATGTTTTGGCAAACAAAAATATTCTTTATCCTCGTTCTGCAAATCCAGATTGTCCTCATCGCCATACAAGAAGAGTGCCATCCTCTCCCCTGATGCTTCAGCTAACCGGATACAACGCCATGGTTTCTACCTGTGTGTGTTTTAATCTCCTAGTCTGTGTGTGTGTATGTGTGAAAGTATGCAAACAATGCCTGACTGACTGAGTTTCTCCCTAAATGTCATGTGCCTCTCTGTGCACTCCATGGTACATGTCTGGTAAAGCCTGTGTGCGTGGACCTGCTTGTAATTGAATTTCTAAGCGTGTGTGTCATTTCTATGGCAGCTCAGTGAGACAACCAAACTCCTCCCCTTTTTCTCTGTGGCCAGTCAGTGAATGGCCTTCTCCACTCTGCCACAAACATCGGGTAAACTGGCACACTCCCTCAGGTCAACAATGTAACAAACAATTTAACAAAAAAATAGGTTAAAACAGATTTAATCAAGCAGATGAGGGCATTGAAAATGCATAATATTTATGCCTTTAATTCTCATCTGTGTTATCCATCCAGTGGTTTGTGTGGTCGCTGTGGTTCAGACCAACAACAACAGAGACAACCAAAAGAGAATTCTCCTTGAACAATTCCCAACAAACACCAGTCACTTTACAATCGCCCCCCCACCCTTAAAATAACTTGGTACAGTCCTGCTCAGCTCTATGGTAACAATAGGGCAGGGCATAAAATAACACACAACCTGTTTCCAGGGCTGGGCCAGACACACAAACACACACCTTCACAGGTGAATGTTTTTGCATACTATAGTTAACGTGCAGACAGTGTTATCAAGAGAGTCAAGAGATAAGCAAGGGCACTTTGAGCTGAGCTGCTTAGAGATTTTCCATGAAGTCAATCAGAAGAAATACTGAAGAATAAACTCGTTTCATGAGACAGTGCATGAGACCTACTTGTACAGCCATACAAATTGACCCTACAAAACACAAGGCACTGTGAACCCTAATCTTGCATGAACTGCATTTACAAGGCGAGCTATAATAAAG